ACCAAGCTTTAATCAGAAGACGGGAGACAAACACTAACACACTATTAATCCACTGACTTCAAAGATTCAGGACATGAACCAGGGACTTCATTAAACTCAAAAACCAAACGTGAATAACAAACACAAAAAACTAACAATAATGATCTGACCCCAATAGCTGGGCTGAACCGTATACATAGCAGAGGGAGCAGGTGAATAAGATCAATGATAATTAGAGAGCAGTGAGGGAACTGCAGGTGAATTAAGTGAGTAATCAGACCAGCTAACGGGGCTGCCATCATGACAAGGGGAGTTTTGATTTAATTTAGGGGTGCTTCAGCACGTGTAACATTTTTTTTTTTAACTCAAGTGTAGTTAACACATTTAAATTTCATATTAAATTAGTTGTGAAATTTTACACATGTCAAAGAGGTAAACCCAATGATTTGTTCTGTTTTTTTAAAGAAGTTTGCACTTGAAAAAAATCTAATGTTATTTATTCTGAAACACGTTGATTTGTTGCTTGTGTTCTTTAGAAATGCATAAAAGGAAGACTCTGAAAAAACTTACAACTAGATTATTTTAAATCATTCAACACTTATGTAAAAAACTAAAGAAAGGGGGCACCAAATATATATTTTTCATACAGTGTGGTCCCTGCTGCGGTACGGAGCAGGCCAGAGAGCACTTATCAACCACCACTGGTCATCCCTCATGGATGATTCCTGAAAATTCATGAATACAAATTCCTTTACATGTCTTCACGTTCAGCAGAAGCAGCAGCGGCAGGACGGGCGTTGTAGAAATGAATTCTTATAGGTACCTCTGGGTGATATTTGGAGTTCATAATGCAGCCCAGTGTTTTATGGATTACTCTATTCAGGCAGGACTGTCCTCTGCCTCTGAAAAGGTTGAGCGCCAATGATCTACTGCCCAGAAGATCAATGAAAGAGTCAGACTTGTTCAGATTGATTTCCAGCATGAATTCAGCAGCTCATAGTTTAAGGCACAGCAAATGAGTTTAATTTGGCGGGAACGGGCAGTGAGCCAGGTCCGATCCATGCCAAACACAAGCACTCCTCCTTCCTACTTAATACAGAGCTGGGTTGAGCATTTAGACATGCTGGATGAAAACAATTAAAGATTAAATTCTCCAATAGATGAAATTAGTAGGAGAGTTTCTAAAGAATATGAATAAAGGTGCTCTGACAGCTTTTTATCTGATATATGCTAGCAGCTATATGATGAAAAGTAGCAGCCGTTTCTTCCCTAGCATAGAAAGGAAAAACGATAATAATAAGATGCAGTTTGAAATTCAATTCAGTTCAATCCTGTTTATTTATATAGCAGCAATTCACAAAACGCCATTTCAAAGCAGTTTACAGATTCCATTCAGTCAAATCAGAGAGACAGATTGGTTGAACGTTATAGATCTAACAAAACCCAGCTGATTGCATTAAGTCACTGACTTTGCAGAAGGAAATTTTTGCAAAGTTGAAAGAAAAGACTCTGGAAGTCTTGGACAGAAGGAAAGAGGCGATGAATAGTCAAAGAAACTGGAGAATATGACACCTGAGACGATAGCTGAACAGGTAAGTCTTGAAGGAATGAAAGCAAATTGAAAGCACAAGAGCAGACAGCAAGGAAAAGAATGAATTATTTGAACGATGAGGTGAGGAGATGAATGAAAATAAAATGCAGAGGACAAAAGAAAGGATAGAGTTGAGGAAGCAAAGTTGCAGGATGAATTTATGTAACACTGGAGCAGTCAATTACATTTTCCTGTTTAGTTACTACATTTCTCTTCTTGGATTTAAGCCTAATACAGTGACGGCATTATTTGGATCTACTACTGTCAAGATAATACATTTTGCTGGACGATGGGGTCCCAGAAATAAACCGTAGTATTGTTATTGTCCAAAGTTCTCCCACATAGTTGTAACGCTAGGCTTTTCCATGTGTTTCTCCAAATTTTATCCAGCACTGCCCTGCTTGCTGATCTACAGTCATAAGGCTCTTATGCTACAACTGCTACGCTAAGAATATGAACTTGGAGGGGTGAGTGGAGACCAATGTACCGGAGTGAGTTTTTTTGTCATCTAGAGTCTTTAATAGATGGAAATTATTGAGCTTTTTAATTTATTATGCAATACATTTTTTATTAATTGCAATACATTTTTTCATGCGATTAATTAATTTATTGTTTATTTTGAAAGGCCTACCTACGGTTACCCAAAATGAGACATACTGTATATACCAAATTTTATCTATTGATTTACAGACAGTTTAGCAATATTAGAAGACAACTTGTAATCACAAGAAACCAAAAACATGACATGGTTTCCTGCTTATCTATAGTTTTCTCAATAAAATTTTTTTTAAATGCGGCTGAAACAATGAATCTGATTAATCGTGATTAATCGATTATTTAAATAATCATCAACTAATTTAGACTAATAATTGTTAAGTGGAATGTAGAGACTCTAAAAAAATCCCCTTTAGCTGACAGAGCAGTAATCATATCAAAATTCTAAAAAATATATATATATATTTTGCATTTATGATAAGAAAATGTTTTCTTCTGTCTATGCTCTATTTAGAACTCCTAAGGGGGAAAAGTTTGAGTTCACCTGGTTTAATTTAGTAACAAATCTACTTCAAGAAACCTTCTGTCCAATTATTAATAGAAAAATAATCATTAGTTGCCGCCATAATCTTAAAGCAAGATACATGATCGATCAATTATTTCCTTACTTCAACACTAAATCAAATGTAAAATAACTTATAAAAGTAAGCATCTTCTGGATGGTAAATCATGTCAAACAGAAAAGAAGTATGAACCGAAAAAACGCTTTTCAGGTGACTGAAGCGTTCAACACTCACCCAAACTTAGAGCATTACATACATTTTTGTTATGTTAAAAAAAAGAAAAAAAAAGTAAATCCCTCCTCTCTGCATTTAACCCATCCCCTTGGGGAGCAGTGGGCTGCCTTTGTGTGGCGCCCAGGGAGCAGTGTGGGGTTAAGGGTCTTGCTCAGGAATCCAGAGTGCAAGCTGTGGGAATTGAACCAGGTAGGCAACCTTCTCAGAACTCAAGCGCACTGCTCTAACCACTAGGCGAACACTCCCCCATTGTTATCCCTTTAAATTGCTAACTATAAATCAGTAATTAGGTGATTGATTGGTTCAAGATGAAGAGAACAGTTTATTTATTTTTTCTTTCTCTGCAGAAACATTTCAGATGGACTGTTTAGGCTCTCATAGTTGTAAAATTTTGGCCAGACATTTTTCATCGTGAAGACTCTCCACAGTTCCAGGTGTAAATTTCACATCTGGCGGTTTCTTTGTCCTTTTATTTTCCATAGAGTGTTACAAGACAACAGCATCAATCAGCCAAAGACCAACTGACTGGATAACAGCTGGTCAAATGATCATTCTTAAAGGCAGGGCTATAGGGAACCGCCTAACAGTGGGGCCCTTGGCAGCCATAAGAACACGCCAAAGGCAGCGTGGCACGCATGGCCACAGTAAATCGTTCCCCGGACGGTTTGTATTGAAACTGAAATCTTGATTACAACATAAATAGCAGTTGACAATAAAGAAATTGATTGCTTGATTGATTCTTTCTGATTTAATTCACCACAACTAAGAATCTGATTTTAAAAAGCATAACATCTGACAAAGTTTATGGACAAATTTTGATGCATTCAAAACTACAACCTCTGCGAAAGACATAGGGCTTAATTTTCCCTTTTTTCCTTATAGATCCTATCAGCAGATCAGACCTTAAAGAAAGTGAACATTAGCTATTTTAAGCAATAAATGTTTAACTTGTTATGGTTGATTAAAATAAAAACAGACGTTGTAAATCCTGGATGAATTTTTAATAAATTACTGTGGATTTTAACATGATTTTTTTTAATATGCCCACAAATAAGGCTTAATTTTAACATGCCAACTAAAAATAAACCTCTCACAGTGATGGTAAATATGTTAGATCTTTACCATCTTTTGTGCAACAAAGGTGTGGATGGGATTGCTGTTCTTGTATTGCACATGGCCCTCTGTGCATGTGCAACCTCCTGTTGATCTCCATTAAAACCGATTGGGTTAAGTGTCACTAAGTGCCTCTTGATTTGAGCGTTCATGCAGGAGATGTAGTTCTCCTTTGTTTCTCTGCTTTTCTTTAGAAACTAGACCTCTGCTTCTTATTTAGTACAAAAAGAACAAAAAAAAAACATGACTGAATCTGTTACTGAATGCAAAGCTGCTAAAGAAAAGAGAGCTTCCTTACGATTTACATGATGCCAAACACAAAATGCATTGGCAATATGATGATTAAGAGCGAAAGTGTCCAGAGTAAGGGCTTTTAAAGTGATGCGTACTGCTTCTAATTATTCTACAGTAGAGTCTGGTGCTTAATGAGGTGATAATAGTTAGAGGAATGGTTTTGCATGCATGTTTAATTAGTTGTAATCATTTTTGCATTTCTGTGCACAGCAGTTGAGATTTTTAATCATGATTTGGATACTATTAATTTAGAAAATTAACTGCGGGACAAATAGGCAGCTTCAGAAATGATGCGAGTTAGATCAGCATCAGGTGAAAGTGTTTGAGGAGCCCTGGGATCTCTCCTCATGGCAGGTAAAGGCAAAGGGAGGGAGGGTAGAAAAAAATCAAACTCTCCATAGTTATTTTGCTTGTCCTGCAATATCCTGCAACAATTTGATGACACAATAGTTAATTGTTTTAGGGAATACTTTATGCCATAGATTAAAGTTGAACTTTATTTTTATTTTATTTTTTTTAGTTTTGCTTTTTTTTAAAGAAAATCTTATTGTAATGAATTATTTGGGGTAAATGTTTTTATTTAACTGTTATATAAATTATTATTGTAGTTTTTTAAAATCTAAATGAAAACGAAAGTTACTCAGATTAGATGATATAATCAAACTGATCTCACACATTAACCTTATTTCTCTTCACATTTGTCCAGCAGCTTTCTTTATCTGTTTCTGTACCTGCTTTCCTGAGTTTCCTGTTCCTGAACACGGACACGATCACCAGCAGGTTTCCGATAACATCCACTACGATGGTCGTGATGAGGACGCCGGCCAGCACGGTGGGCACCCAAGGGAAGGAGTGCTGCTGCTGACCCGGGGCCCCTTCCTCGCCCGCTGCCGCTGAAGAGTTGCGGGGCTCCAGGGTCCCTCCCGCCATGGTGGGCTCATGGTCTTTCAAGGACATCAGTTGCGGGAGGTGCCTTGAGTCGACCAGTCGCATCGGGTCGTATCGGCGAAAGGTGGGTCCATTCAGCATAACGCAGGCGGATCAGACTATAGGTGTAACCTTAAAGTGTGCGCAAAGCTGCGCCCTCGGTTTGGTCTTTACGCGCAAGTCTCCAAAGGTAAAACAGGACATGACAGATGACATTCGTTGTTTTTTTGTTTTCTACTTTCTGATGCTCAAATAGTCTCGCTCTCTAAAGCTCAGTAAAACACATTTGTTGCCTGTAAACATCTCCTCAGTCAGTTTGGGAACCACCTTTCATCTGTCTCAGGCAACAGCGGCTCAGCTGGCAGCTCAGATTTTAAATCATGTTCTGTTATGGTCACCTTTCTGCCCCGCTGTTCATCGTTTCCGCTTGATCCAGCTTCACATGTGCGCTCCATCGGTCATTCAGTCTGCAGGCTGCATCATTCAGACTCCTTCAGCATCCTCTCTCAGTCTGAGCTCAGTGCGCTTACGCGCCTTTAAAAATCCAGCAAGATCCGCGTGCTCCCTCACCTTACCTCATTTTACGCATGTGCTCGTAAGGATGCACGTGTTCTTTTGATATCTACCTGGTAAAACCCTCTATTTTGCCTCCCCTAGAAAATCTCCTGTAAAATGCATTAAGTCTCACACGTCTAAAATGCTAATTTACCTAAAACTATATTATTCAAAGTGTTATTGATGTATAAAATCTGTGTAAGTCAACAAAGTTTTAAAAAGAGGACTAAAATCCATCTAACTATAACTATATATATATATATATATATATATATATATATATATATAGTTATATTACAATAACACTTACTAAAATAGAATTAAGACTAATATTAACTCTGCAGACCCTGTAGAAAGTGTTGAGATTGACAGCTTGTTTGTTTTGTGTAATAGACGTTTAATACACACCTAGCTGGTTGTTTAACTTTTATTAATCAGTTCACCGAAGTAATAAAAGATGAACCTCCTATTAGCCTGTGATTTTACAGGTTTGTGTAATATTTTGCTCCTGGATCAAACAGCCAGATTGCTCATGGAGGATTTTTTAGAAAATATTCATTAGTCATGACAGGGTTTATTTTCTTTCTTTAAAAAAGAAAAAAAAAAGTTCAAGGTCAGAGTTCTCAACTCATACATTTGTTTTCATAGTAGGAATTTAATGATTCTGAGCTAAATTCTGAACCAAATAGTAATGATAATGTGTACCTCCAGTTTTCTGTCAACCTTTAAGTCACATGGGATAAACACAGACCCGACTGCAGAAAGAAATTAAAGGGGGCCATTCCATTTCAGCACACTTTTTCAGCAAACATTTGATTTACTTAAGGCTTAACACTGGCTTTGTGACCAATCAGTGAAAGGAATCTCCAATCTTTATAAAAAGATTTATTAAAATTGTTTTAAAACCTTTCAAGAATAATTTACTGAATTAGAAATCAGCATTTGTTGAATTCTTAAGGGCAGATCATACTTCTGCATCCGCTCACATCAAATGTGGCTTGGGTCTGGTCGCAAACCAGTTTTGCTGGTATGCTTCTGCACCGTCGGTCTGGAATTTCTAGGGACGCACAGCAGTTTCCCGCCAAAGCGCAAGGGGGAGCCTGTTTGAGAACTTGCAAGAACTTCGACGGATGGTCATGAGATCTTCATTTTGGCAGACTTTGGCATCTTTATGTAATTTGTCTGAGGCAAGTGGTTGTTCTTCCGAACCTCCTCCATTAACCTTTCGTTGTAGTTGTCCATTGTAGTTGATCCTAGGTTTTTCAAAAATGGCGCGCCCCGGCACCAAGTGGAGAAGGACGACCACACAGCCAGAAAAAGCATACCAAGGACCAATCAGAGCTGCTTTTTGTCTGTGCACTTCCGCTAGAGGTCTGGGTTTGCGACCGTCAGAAATGTAGTCAGGATTTTTTGAGAGAGACACAGACAGATTTGATGGATGTGGAGGCTATGCGTCAGAGGCATCAATTGGCCTTTAGTGTCCTGATAGGGTTTTCTGAACCATGTTCTAATGTCTCCCCCAGCGGCTGGTAAACCAGACTTACTACAATCATTCAGAAACTGGACATGTTAGATTTGTATTTTGTTGAAAAACGTCTACTGAACATTGTTATTGATAAGATTTTAGGAACAATTGAGTCCAGATTTAACAGTCAAAAAAGATCCACAAAATATAAAAAATAACCATTAGTGTAGTGCTGTGACCATTCAAATAACTCAAAAGTCCATTGTAAAGTGAAAAAAATAAAAACTTTAAAAAAAGTTGTTCTTTTATTTTTTCTTAAAAAAAATCACTGATGTCATTGTGAAGTAGTATTTAATTTAAGTTTAATCAATTTAATTGTTGTAATTTAAGTCACTTTGTCACAGTCATGCTGAACATTGACTGATGTAAACGTTCATGCTAGGAGAATCAGCTAAGCAGCTAGGGAGCACAGGGAGCAGAACAAAGTGTGTTACCCTTCTGTGTACAAGTGATCCATCTGTGTACGTGTGTGCAGAGAGACATTTACTCTACTTTAAGGACAGTGGCAGGAAGCACTTGTGAAACCTTCTCAAAACCCTGTGTTTCCATTCAATTCTAAATTTCCGAGTCAAGTCCTTCTCAAAATGCCGACTGGATCAGAATAGCCTTGTGTTGATGAAGCATGGCTTGGGGATGCTCGCTGACAAAATTTTTAAGAGTGGAAAATTAATTTTCCCAGGATGCAGTGCTGGCTCTAAAGTCAGTCCATTATTAAATGGCATTAGGCATCGTTTCCAATGGCCTTTGAAGTGTTTCAAAATATGTAAGGATTAATAAGGTTTAAATCAATATTGTTATAAACATTGATTCCCTATATAATATAAAAATTATTGTATCCAACATCATATTAAATAATGCATTCTAATCTCACTGAAGCATGTCATGTTAAGTATATGTAATCTGTTTCACAGCTTTACTATGAAGGTTTGATGCTGAAGAATATCAGTTTGTTTTAAATGCCCCAAAAGACCATGCCATGATAATATAGGCTATTTAATTGTTTTAAAGCAGGCCTTGTAGCTTTTTTTTGAGATCTTGAATAAAATAAAAAAAAATGCTGAACTTTTGGCCATATCCTTATTCACCTGTTTTATTGTCCAATTCTTCTCATCTGGTGGAGAAGACTCCTTCATTTGTGTTACCAGGAAGTTGCGGGCCACCTTAAATTCAGCGTCCACTGCAGTTGTCAAGTAAAGGCTTCACCTTGCTGACATCCAAGAATGTGGCTTGCACAGGATCTGGGGTTTTGAGTGCCTCCATCAAGTCACAATTACGTTTCCCAAAGTGATTTTTAATTTCTCTACAAACTGAGTCAATGCAACTATTGTAAATCCTGTGTAGTTCTGATTAATCATTAGAATCTGCAGGTGTGCTGATTTCCTTGACAACCGAATCTGCAAAATCTACTCTTTGATGGTCTTGTTGTGGAACTGTCATAGAACTTATATAGAGAGAGACGTTTGTATGAAAATTTATCAGGGCATGTTTTAGTAGCGCCATTTTTTGGGGCAATCTAATAATCAAGACATCATTACAACCCTTACTTTCTAAATGTTAACAAGGTGTATGAAATAAATGTATTTTAACAAAATAAAATAGTAGAAAGTGCAATTAACCAACATGAAAAATAACACATACTTTTCTAAATATAGAAAAAATTCATAGCTTTATACATCAAAAATTGCAACATAAGAAAGTTGCACAAAATCATTTCAAGACAGATAAAAAGGATTTGGAATATGTTCAAAACTTCAATTTTGAAATACACCAACTTTAGTAAACTGAGAAAAAAATAGAAAAACATGTACATTGTGAACTATTTGAGAAAAACAAACATATACATTACAATTAAGTGTTTACAGCAGTGCAATCTAAACTTTAAGTTTCCTAGATAGGCGTGAAAACACTTAAAGGTTCACTAGACCGTTTTCAAAAAATATAAATTGTTATGAACAACAAAAAAATATTGTAGTTTTTTTACCGTATTGAAACTTTATGACAGATAAACACAAATTCACATAATATGTTTTTATCAAGATACAGAAAAAAAAGAGGATGCAAAAACGAAATGACAGGAACAACCTGACCCTATCTATAATAAATTACTTACAATACTGAAATCCCAGGCGCAGAGCCAGTGGAGCAGTGACAGACCTGTCCACTGTCACACACAAAGGAATTTCACACGCCGCACACATAAAGAGAGTGCATTTCCCAAAGACACTGAACTTTATCCCTGTGTGGCTTTCTCTTAGCCTGATGCTTCCTTAGTAATGGCCACAGGGATGTACTGACAGGCCTCTGGTATTGTTGTGGAGTCGACCCACACAGCTCAACCATCAACTGCTCTTGAAAGCTCCTTGTGCAACAGGAGGCTACTGTTAAAGCAATGTGATGCAGCACTGTGAGATACCACTTCCTGCTCTTTCTCTGTGAGGAATCAGCTGGTCAAAAGGTCAACTTCCCCCATGAAGCAGTTGTAGTCCTTCAGAAATGGCTCCTTCCTCTCCTCTCCACACCACTGAGTGTCTCAAGGGAGCAGAATGTCTCCTCTCCATCCTCCTTAACATCATCAACTTTGCAAACAGGAAAAAGTCACTCTATATGTTAGATTTGCTGATATCAAGAATAGCATGATAGTGACACATCACAGTGAAATGTTGTCATATGTACCTTAACTTTTGTTTTATATATGTATATATAAATTGCTTTGTCACCCACCCCTGCTACTCTTAAGCAGTGTGTTTGGCTTGGTTCTCTACCAAAGGCCTGGGACCTTGAGGGTTCTTTGCAGTATCTGTTGCTCACAAGGCCTCTGGGTCCTTCATTGTGCTTAGTGTAATACTGGATAACTTTCATGTTTTAAGATTAGTGGCCTGAATATCCTCTTTGGGCCAAGCTATTGTCCCAGCAGGGTCTCTGCTTACTGGCAAGGTATAGCTGTTGATTGCCTGGACCTTGTTATTACCATTGAGTTTATATCTCAGAACTTGATCTATTTGTTGCAGGTATTTGTTTGTTGTTGCTTTCCTTGTGGCCCCTTTATGGTTGCCATTTGCCCGTTATATTCCTTACTTGGTTGCTCTCTTCTACATCTGCTGAGAGAGGTAAGAAGTAATTTTTACCATAGAAAAATCTACAACTCTTAGGAACAAAGTCACATAATTTCCAGTTCTAGCTCTTTTTTTTTTTTTTTGTTCTTGCATTTTTGTTGGATTTATGCAAAATCAGAAATAAATTATCTGGAGGAAAACAGTGGTCTGGGACTCATTGTGAGTAGAATGTGTAATTTTATCCTTCTACTTAAATTTGCTAAAGAAAATATTGTTCTTATCTGGTTGCAACTCTTCAGGCATCTTAAGAAAGCCACAGTCATCAAGCGTTAAAAGCTCCAGTTGTAAACGATTGTTTGACTTTT